TGCCCCCAGACCCTCCCCATGCGATGCTGGATGCAGGGGGAGAGCCAGGCCTGCTCCATTGCACCCAGACCCTCCTGATGGAGAAGCTGGATGCAACGAGAGCCAGAAGGAAGAAGGGTTTGGGGACAGGCTCCTTTTCTGCCCCTCTCCAAACGTTTCCCCGCCCGGGGCTGTGCGGCAGCCGCTCCCAACGCGCTGCTCTGCGCCCGCAGGACATCAACACGGGCTGGCAGCACCTGGAGCAGGCGGAGAAAGGCTACGAGGAGTGGCTGCTGAACGAGATCCGGCGCCTGGAACGCCTCGACCACCTGGCTGAGAAGTTCCGTCAGAAAGCCTCCATCCACGAGGCCTGGACTGAAGGTGCCGCGTCCGGGAGCGGGGCCGGGGCGCGCGGGGCTCCTTTGGGGTCGGAACGGAGCAGGGCGCAACTTTGAGGCGGCGTCGGGGCGAAGCTCGGCTTCCGGCTGCGCTCTTCTTCCCCACCGGGGAGGAAACGGAGGGGCTGGGAGCCGCTGGGGAAGCATTGGGAAACGCTGGGAGCCTCCAGCTGTCCGTGCCCCCGTGCGCAGCAGCTGCGCTCCCGTGGAGAACGCGGTAATCCCTGCCCTGCGCCGTTCTCACACTCGGGGATGGGGGGAAAACAGAGGCGGGGAATCGTGCGGGAGCGGCGCGGCGCCGCGTTTCGGTGGGGAGAAACGGGGGCAAAAAGACCCCCTGGCTCCGCTGGGGGGCGGCGGGACGCGAGCGAAGGGGGGTCGGGGGGCGAAGAGCCGGGAGGGCTTCGAGCTGCGGACCGAGCGGCGTCCCCGTGCGGCAGGCAAAGAGGCGATGCTGAAGCAGAAGGACTACGAGGCCGCCACGCTGTCCGACATCAAAGCGCTCATCCGAAAGCACGAGGCCTTCGAGAGCGACCTGGCGGCTCACCAGGACCGCGTGGAGCAGATCGCGGCCATCGCGCAGGAGCTCAAGTACGGAGCCGCACACTGCGCCCTTGTTCGGCCGGCCCCCACGGCGCCGCTGCGGGGCGGGCGGATCGAGGCTGCGCGGAGCCCCGGCTGTGAATGCGGCCCTTCTGCCGGCCGGGGGGCCGCGCTGCGGGGAGCTCGGGAGGCCCCGGGGGGAGCGGGCCTGGGCTCTGCCCCACAGCGCAGCCATCCCAGCCCCACTGCAGTTCATTCCCATACCCCAGCCCCACTCCTCCCAGCTCTGTGCCCCACATCCCAGCCCCACTGCAGTT